GAGCGAGAATGGCACATCCAATTTACCTTTCGCAACCCCACATACAAAACCTACGATAGGGCGGACCAGGGGCTTGGGTGCTCGCATGTGTTTCCTTTGCCTCGAGAGTCGAGAGTCGAGAGTCAGTTCTTGCCTCCCCTCAAATCGCTTTTCCTCCGGTCCAGCACTCGGCCAAGCTGTGTGGCAACCTAGAGAACTCACTCTTGCGTTGCTTTCTTTCGAATTCGATCAACCACGTTGGGTCAATGATGAAAGACAAAATGTCTTCGTCCTCTTAGCCAGACACGTATCAACCATTGTTCATTCGGCACCACACGCGAATATGCTGCCCGCCTATCGATGACTACGTCCGCAAGCAAGCATCTACGGAGTGCTCCGTATGAGCCGCTACCCAGCAGCACTCAAAGCTCATCAGATAAGCTAGACTTGGCGGTGCTTTGACCCTGCGCCGGACGAATGTTCCAAAGCTTCCATTTGGTCACTGCCCTTCTCGATTGGGCAGTCACCGTTGGCGCTGGCCGAGCACCCTCGAGCGTACGCTGTCAATGAGGACAGACAGAGTGTGGTCAAAGCCACTCCATTTCGCAACGCCATTGCGCTGCAGTACAGATACAACAATACGGGTTCCAATACTGACTATACAACTGCCCATCCACTACAAAGTACCTCGCGAGTCCAAATATCCACCCTTGCTCTCCCATGGCGAAAATTACAGATGGAACACTGATGGTTGACCGCACCTCTTCTCACCACTCATCTCCCACGCATCACACTCATCAAGAGAACCCGCGACCTAGCCGCCTCAGATGCTGTCGCCTCCCTCTTGTTTGCGTTGACTTCCTCTTGGCGGCCGCTTCTACAAGTTCCATTAATCATGCCGGGCTGCAATGTTACGGCAACGAGGTGCAGAGTGCCATCCAATGAACGCTCGGACACCTCCAAATTTGCTACTACCCTCAGAGCACGTATCAAAGTCGCGAAACAAAGTTACGCTGGAGCTGTTTGAACGACCCCCTGCTTGTTATTTCTTGCCCATTCCTATCCGGCTCTTGTCACTGACGTTTAGCGCACAGCCAGGTTTTACGCCGTATGGATGCCTTAGCATGGCCAATCTCGATCCAAGGGCCCTGTAAAAGGTGCGAGGGTGCGACAGTACAAGGTGCAGGGACTCCCGGCTGCTCCGCCATACCAAAGATTCAAAGGGGCATGGTCGTGGAAGGGCTCCATTGCTTCTGGAAAAGATTGGCTGTTTGCCAAAAACTCTGTGGACAGCCGTGTCGATGTCGATGCAGAGGCCCGACAATCAGGCACAAGCGGCTCGAGGTTGACAAGATGGTTTGGCTGATGCCGTCACCGTTGTCATGTGCCCAAATTATTGGAACCGGGGTCTGCCCACGGCTCTTGGGATGACAAACAGATTGGCACATCGGAAGAGAGACAGAAGGACAACAGTTGAATAACTTGCAATGGGTTCTTTCTCAACGTCCTCGATGGTTGTCGTACCGCTTGCTACCCCTCAGTTTTCGTCTTTATTCTTAACTGAATATCTCGGAAACCTTTGGCGACTCTGTGCGTCTCTGGCCCTGTATCCGTATGTCTTTTTCAAAGTAACAAGATGCCACATCGACTTTCTCGAGCTCCAAGGGTGAATATTTCTACACGCTAACGTTCGGTAGCGTAGGGAATAATTAAAAACCAGAGTCGAGTGACGCGACGGCCGTACTCGAATAATTTCTCCTCGGATTGGTTATCCTTGACCGAAGCCCTGCATTGGCATCACCTAACACGGGCAAGCTCATAACAAATATGCATGGCTTGCGATGTCCTCATAGTTGTCACGCGTAAAGGTACAACAACGACGACGACGACGACGACATCAAGACGCAGGTACCGTCTGTTTAGCGACGACCTTCATGTCCCAGGACTCTACCACTCTTAGGGCCGCCCTTTGCGCTAAGGACAAATGAACATCAGAGCTAGGGAGCAATGGCCAAAAAGGGGTGTTGCCAGCATCTCTGACCGAAACCCACAGGGATGTGAGCACAAACCTGGCGCAAAGTTGAGTGCGTGGGGAGGCCTAGTGGCCCTCGCATGCAGCCAGGAGATTGATGCTAGGCCTAGCGGGGAAGGTTTCCAGAACTCTTCTAGAAGGCATCGACGGCGTGTGAGCCGCCGTGGAATTACAGCTGCGTCAAAGGGATGGGCTGCGCCGCCGTCTCGCTGCTTCATCTGCGACGAGGGTGGGGTGCTCGATGTCAATCTATCCCTGGAAGGCCTCTTTCTTCTCTCCACTCCTTCTGGAATACTTCGAGAAGGTTGGATGAATACAGGCCCCCCCCGGGTAATTGGCCGACGAGCACAAGATTACACGGACTTTCTGCTGCACAAGGCAAGGCCCCAGAGCCAGGCACCTTGTGTCGTATCAGCCTTGAACCGGGGGGCACTCGCGCGCGCAGACTGGGGGCCCGTCTCCCACTGGCCCATTGGCTTTACCGTTATTGGGATCCATGGCAAAGGGGCGTGTGTCAAGAACGGGCCTTGAGGCCTCAAACACGCCGTTGACAGCGCGCCGAGGGCTTTGGACGTATGTTTGTCGCCCTGGCCGCCCGTTCGAATGCTCGCATGGCTGCCTTGACTTACGAACGGGACAGCCGGCTGCAGAGTAGGGTTGGATGTTGAAGGACTGGACGATTTGCGATGCAGTCAGGCTCGCCGCATGACCAGCGTCAAGCATCAGGCGCCAGAGCACTCACGAAAAGACACCAGACTGGCAGATAGGACCTTGTCGACCACAGTCAAGGTGATGTCCTGCGGCTCTGTTCCCGAAAGCTCAGACTGATTGAAAGGCCCATTGACGGCCGGCCCTCTGCGGATTATTGCACACAGTACCCGTACCCGCCTCGTCAGGGCTCAGCTCAGGCACGGGCGCATCACGGCATCTCCCAGACTCCCACGGCTGAAGCAACCCACGGCTTATTACAACCGTCATGCATGGTCCATGGGGTGGTCCAGGTGACAAGGTCTTTGGACTAGCGAGCCTCAGCGGAGATTGCCGCAGGCGACTTTGAATAACGATTGTCTGTGCGAGCCGTCCAACTACGGTTACAGACAGCCCAATCTGTCGAAGCTCACGAGCTTTTGGTGGCATTGACCCCTAGTCCCCCCAACCTCTTGACCGCAAAGAGGTAGGAGACCTAGCGCACGACTGTGAGTAGATCAATCGACGTGGCACGGACGATTCAAGATTAAGAACAGGCGCAAAAGCAGATGAGCGAAGCGGTCAGCCAGAGGCAGGAGACTCTGCTGAGGTGTGCTGTCAAACGATTAGGTGACAAGGTACGGATATACAGAGTACCGTGCCTCACCTCAGCTTAGTGCTCTGTAGTTTGGGTGAGGTGAGTTGGTTGCGGGCAGTCTGCAACCAAATTGGTGCATCGCGCCTCGTCCCAAACGGCAAACATGAGCTAAATCGTGTGTGTACGACTCAGTCTGCGAGGCGTGTCGGGACAATCTGTTTCAGAAGATATGCCCAGATTGGTCGCCATGCACTAGTGGTGACGAATACAGGTTGAGTGTATCTCGCATGTTTGCCAGCTGATGGAATTGGGATCCAGGTCGAGTCTTGGGCGGTAACGAGTTGGATCCGACTCCATGCTCTCTGTGCTTGCGCATCGGCATGCAGATTGCCGTTGCATCATCAGCAGCAACGCGGGCATCAACACAACCCCTGACCACTTTACAATCTATCAAGCACTCGACCATGTCAACACGGGGAGCTCAAGGACCGACGCTAAAGCGAGATGCCTCACTTCTAGCGCAAATAGCCGTCGCTAGACACATCGGCAGCGGCTGGCAAGGGATGGAAGATTGGCGTGCGCCAACCGCCTGAGCTTGGAGGCTTGAACAGCTTCCATGATTGTTCCATGCAGGATTCTTTTCTATTCATCCTTCCATGGAGGATCACTTACGATTGTGCTACGCGACCCCTGGGCTTACTACGGCCAAGTTTGTTCTCTGGCTCAACGGCGTTCAAGGTTCCTCGCCAGCAGCCAGCGATGCCTTTGGTAGCGGGAGAATTGTCTACTCTCAGGTAAGGGCGCTCATGTTTCCTTTGAATCTGTGTCTATACTGAACAATGGAGGATCCTCGACAGTCCAAGTCACTCAGGCAGCATGCAGTCCGCACACTGTAAAACCATGACCGGACAGTGTGTCCAACTGTACGAACACGTCTAGCGCTCTCGACCGCTGGGTGGACAGCTGCGGGGTGCTTGCTCCCGCAGTGGCTTGACCGTGTCCTGTTGCTGGCCTCCTTCGATACAGCGAGATTCAGCGGGATCTAGCTTCATGCCATGGGGCTATGGCCAGTGCCTGCCCCTTGCCTAGCAAGTTCTGTTCCATTTACACCTCGTCAGCTGCGGCCGGCAGGTGGTGCTTTTTACCCCGTGATGCGAAGTTGCGAACAGAGGGAGGCACTTGCAGGCCAAGCGCAAATGGCCTCTGCTCTTCCCTTTCCCTATACTCCGCAGATTGTACTGGTATCTGTGTCTGTATCCATATTGTCCTCTCACGGTCTCACCCCATTGACCAAACCCAAACAACTTCCCATGCTCATGGATTCCTTGTCTGATACTTACCAGTCTTTTTAGCCTTGGCAGGCCTTGTCATGCTAGCAGCTTCGGTGAGGGCCGCGAAACCGAAGATCACGTCTATTTCCGTCCATTCTTTTTGTATCCGTACGTCTATTTCCTCAGGCGCCAAGAAGCAATAGGTATCGCGGTCGTCGACGACGGTTCAACGCATAAGTTCGCTCGAAGTAGCAAGACGGTTCTCGGACTCTGAAAATTGGCCCTTAACGATTCGACATCGAAGCCAGTGATGCGCGCCGACACCCTGCAATCGGGCCTCCCTCACTCACGGATATACGCGTGACACGGAACGACCTGACGTCCGTCACCACCCTTCAATGCAAGAGAAAAAAGATACCCGTCTTCTAGCCAGATGTCTCCCGTGCCGCACTGGGGACCGTCGGGCCTGGCACAGCAGACGAACACTGGGCCTGATCACCACCACGATCAGCGGATGACCCATCACATCTACCGTACCCAAATCAATGCCCCGTTCAGAATCGCCCCCAATCACCCAGGTATCCGTCTAGACTACGGAGTACAGAGCGGTGTATCTTCAATTGATGCGGCAGAGACTTCAATAAAGGCCAAGCCTCGGTCAGTCTGACGTCCACCCAGGGGAATGTATTGTGGCGGATACACATGTCAGCCAACTGGATGCGTCCCGCCTGCGAGCTAGTCAGGATAAAAAAATTTCAGACATTCACCACGAGGGTATAACCAATAGTTGCGCCCCAGGCCCTCAATCGCAGCCACTGCGAGCAGCAGTTTGAGTACCTAATCTCTCTCCATCAACGGACGCTCCGTCGAGATACTTTCGTCCATTTCCGCAGACAACCACCTTATTTTTTTTTTCTCGATCTGGGCATGAAACGCCCGTGCCGAATCGTGGCCTTTGGGAATCTCGACCACTGTCAGTTGCAACAACAACCCGTCCCTTCATTGGCACGACACGGGGAGGCGCTAGCTTCGCCTTGCGTTGCTTGCCTTGCCTGGCATCAACCAGGCGAGGGCGATGAGTTACAACGTCAGGTCAAGGCTCACTGGCTCAGGAGTCGGGGAGTGCCAGACAAGGCTCCGGCAGTTGAAGGGATGTGCATGTTAAATCTCGTTAGACCCACTCACACGAGGAGACTGCGTCTGTTAGCTAAACTTAGCTGAGTGGGATGAACTGAATCCGAGATGACCGCCGGCCGGCTGTGTTACGCTGTCTTCGTGTGTTCCTTGAAGGGCACAGTTGCACTCGAGAGCTGTCAACCGCTCATGGCCAGGCCTTCATCAATGCTTGCTCCATGAGGGTTTGATGGCTATCGTCAAATTATAGGGTCGCAAAGTTCAACATTATGGCCCGCCCGTTGGCCGTTCTGATCCCCAGCAGCCACCACCATCAAGAACAACGGAGCCACCCCAGACAGAAGCGCACACTCCTCTTCGCTGGGAAGACGGTGATGCATGGACACTTTCCTCCCCGGGTACACAATGCCTCAACGATCAAAGTCCAGGATTCGTCAACCATAATGGGCAACCCTTGACATGCTTTTCTGCTGGACCACTCTGCGGCGGTACCGGCATTTCCGCTGTTCCACTATCATCCTGGCAGCAAGGCAAAAGGTCGACCGACACACCAGAATTGTCCAAATCCACTGGTATTCAGCAGCTACATCCGTAACCGTACAGTTACAAAGCACTTTCATGAGGCCGCGGCAAAGGCCTGGCACCCCAGTAATGATCCCTTCGTACAAAGCCATCTTGCAGGTGGGAGGACAACCCGTCGCGGGCAAAACGCAAAGAAAAAGTTACAGGGCAGAGATCGGCAGGCAACGCGTCCAACTTTTGCCGCTCGGGGATGGAAACGTCACGCTGGCTGCACACACACACACACGCACACACGCGTCTGATTCTTTTTCCTTTTCTTCCATCTGGCTTCTGGAAGGTATCGACGGCGCCGCCGCCGCCGCCACCACCTCCCATAGAAGTCGCCTGTTGACGAGTCCCGGCCGGACTGGAGGCTGTTGACCTCCACCTTGGGCAGCATTGGGCTCTCAACAACGGTCATCTCAACCTTCGTCTCTTCGTCCCGTCCAGGTGCACGGGGGGCGAATTGATCGCTGAAGCATCTTCAAATTCTGAAACCACCATCAAAGGTTCATTCCGGCCGAATGGCGAGAACTGAGTCAAGAATCCTCAAACTTCACAGGTTGAGCCGCTTGCTCCACACCCTCATCGGGGCCGACGGCCGCTGGGAGATACCCACCTCCCTCTTCCAGCTCATGGTACGAATATAGTTTGCTCTCTGTCGTAAGCGTGGTGCAGCGGTCATCAGACTTGCCAGTAGTCCTTGGAATCAACAGGCAAAAAGAGAAAAAGAACAAAAAAAGGACGTTGAATCGATATGATTCCATGCCAGGATTGAGCTGCTGAATCCCTCCGGATTTTCAAATACGAGGCTATCATACCTACGCAGACAACCTAGAATGCGACCCATCTGTGCTGTTCAGGTGAATAAAGCCTCAAATGTCGATTATCAAGCTTTGCCTCGCTCCATCAGCCTTGCCTTTGACTTGCGAGCGAGCGTCGTAGCGTCTCTCATGGGCCTTGCGTAACGGTACGGGCTCCAGCGGGGAGATCCATGACGATGGCTCAGCTAGAAAGGCTGCCTGATCTAGCCTGACTCTGCGCGGTTTGGCCGCTCAACAGGGAACCTCGATCTTGCGGGAGCGATGCCGACCCCGGTCAGCTTGGGTCGCGTCCGTCTGGCTGGAATCATCGACATCCGACACCATGGTTCACCCGTAATTACCGAGTAATTCGATCAGTCGGATGAGCGAGTCTGGGGGCGCTCAAACCACCCGAAACCTGCAAGAAAACACACTCGATGCGCTTTGTGCCTACAGCCCTTCGACGTCGCCAGACGAAGGGCATGTTTGTGTTCGAGAATGAGGACCCGGCCGCAGGACTCGTTGTTCCGAGGCGCGTGCGGCAGAAACGTTGGCCCTTCCGCACCAGGCTGTGCCACCTTCATGCTTGGATCAGGTTCCAGGGTTTGGCTTGACGTTGCCGAGCGGCCGTGGGCATCTGCCAATTCTCCGAGGCCCGCTGTGACGGTCCAACGAAGGTTCCGGGGACATCCTCACCAAAGCACTGAGCTCAGTCAGGGCTGCATTTCGATATTCTTTGCCCGGTTTCCTCGTCGCTCAAGGAGTCGTTTGACGACGAATCAGCTTCCCGTGGTGCGGTTTCCCAGTCAGACCAGCAGGTGTTGCAAGTCACCCGCCAGACAAGTCCCCGATGTGGCTAGAAAAGGCGAGACATCTGCACTGGGGTCAACCGCAGCTCCGCCAATAAGCAAGACCCCGTAACCCCTAACATGCCCCCTTGATGGGATAACGCGAACTGGCCCAGGCGGTTCAAGTGCATCATCAGTCCTTGGCCATGAAGGAGCATTCTCATCTTTGAGTCGTGTCTCCAGGCCGGTCTCAACCGGACAAACGATAAGCTTGGGGACTTGCAGCCACCCAGGGTTACATTCCGCGGTCGATCTCCACGACCGCAAAGACCATCAAGAGGCCTTGCGTTGCTCGTCATCTCCCTACGGATACTAGGCGGACCGCTCCGTAAAGCCAACCCGGAGCCGGTGCGTAGTGCCCAAGGACGGCCCAGAAACACACAGACCAATCGTGCCGAGTAAACGTGTTGCGGCCGGACAGGATTGACCACATCCGTATGAAAGGGGCACCTGGACCTCGTCAACTTGGCTTTGGAGAGGCTGCAATTGACACTACATGCCTATCGATTGCTTTGGCCTGCCGTTCTTGAAATGGAGGCCTGATACGTTGCATCAAAACCACATGTGAGAAACCTACTGATAGATCCGCGGTGCATAGGGGACGGGAAATGAGGCGTTGAGACAGTCGAAGCTCGGTGAAGATGCGCTTTTTAATTAATACGATAACTCATCCCCCTTCTGAACGGGGAGAATCACGCGAGATAGCCAGTCATATCTGCGACATTGAGACCCACGAAACCCACCTCCCCGGTTATAAAGTCTCGAGAGATGAGCCCGACGTCTTTCATCCGGGGAGCGATGTGCACCTTTTGACCTACGTGGATGGCAGGTTAGGTTGACCGAGCTTATGGGCATGGCTGTCAAATGTGCGGGATGTCAGCCCGATTCGACAGTGTCTCGATCAATCAGCCGCGGGGTCGCGTCGGATTCGTCCATTTGTCTTGACCGAGGAAAGGATATCGGCCGGCGGCCATCCATCCTACCCATTCTCCCAGCAGGCCAGCGAGCCAGCGCATATGCGAGAGTGTTTCTTGCGCCATTCGGATCCAAAACTCATTCTCGCCCCATCATGACCTCTTGTGAAGTGGAATCTCGCCATACTTATTTATCCGCTGCATAGGCAAACTGCAGGACCAATTAACCAGGTGCCGCGTCTTTGCCCCGAGAAACCAACATGCAGGCCCAGCAACATTGTAATGTTTGTGGGTGTCAGTGGGAAAGCGCACAATGGCCAGCGTTTGTGACCCAACAATAGGAAAGCAGAAGTGCGGAACTTCGGTCGTGCTACCCGCCTCCGCATGATCTACGCCGCCGAGCTCTTTACCTTTTCTCTCCGACGACCCCCGAAACGGCCCCGGTCCTCACTCCTTTTTCGCGTTGACTGCAACCCCCGCGTTGCGGCGTCGGTGGCCACCACCACCGCCCCTTGTCCAACCACACACCTTTGGTCTTTTTCTTGTTTCTTTTGGAACGCCTTCGTTGTCTTGTCTTTCCCCCTGAGTTGGGTTGATTTGGTCCCATCCAACCGGTCAAGGAACCAAAAAAAGGTGACGTTTCCGAGAAAGAGGGTGACGCCCTTGGCGCAGGATGGAGGAGGAATGAGACAAGAGGAGGGCCGCGCCGGACCTAGCGTGGCCCTGTCATTGAAATGTCAAGGCTGTCAAATGAGCCTGGCTAACTGGGTTTGCCCAAGCATGAATAGGAGAGACGTCTCATCGGGAAACGTACCCGTCCACGACCACGATGAGGCGTGGATTCCACATCTCACCGACGATCGACGGGCTGGAGAAAAGGTAGGTGGTTAGGTACCTTTGGGCGTTGCATTCTTGTTTGCCTGTCTGACTTTTCTGTTTGGGCTGTTCAGCTGCTCAAGCTGCTGAAACCCTTTTAACCTCTTTTCGCAGTCGGCGATCGAGTAACGTCAAGGCCAAGGCCAAGGGTGGGGGTTGCTTGGGATCACTTGGTGTAAGTCAGGGATTTGGCACTTTGTCTTGAATCGTCAGTGGTATTTCTACGTGCCTGCATCATTCTCCTTCTCCTCGTGGCTACCACCCAACCAGAGAGAGAGCGAGGGCCGAGTGGGATATGGCTTCATGTGGACAGACACCACCGCCTACCTCGCTCGGCGCGCTTGTGCACATATATGTTTGCCAGGGGAGAGGCGTAAGGAGAAACCTCCCATGCCCACCCCTCCCCTCCCCATCCACTCACATATCGCAGGTCTTATAATGAGGATGAGATGAGATGAAGGGGACAGGGGGTTCAGTGTGGGTTTAAGGGAAGGGAAGGTGCAGAAAAACGTGAATAACGGCATGCTCTTGATGACGAGTGATTCAGGAGTTCTTCTCTGGGGTGGCAGAAACGTTGCCTCAGTCGAAGAGGGAGATTATGTATAAAAGCCATCGACTGGGACCTCCATCGTTTGAGCTTCTTCCCTTTTTACGAACACTCATCAACTTCTACTCTACCACCTACACAAAAGTCAAACTATTCCTGTCCATTGTCATTGCCATTACTTTCACACATTTTGAACCACCCGTTTCCTCACCGACATTCGAACCCACGTCATTCTCGTCGGGAAAGAACGGGAGAAACGTCAACCAAGACGGCAACCTGCAGTACCAAAGCCAACAACCCCCCTTTCAAATCTCCAATCCACCTCAAGTCACAAGAAACAAGAAAGGAAAGAGAAAAGAGCAAAGAGAAAAGAAGAAAAAAAAAACAATGGCATCCCAATCAAAAATGGTCAACATGCCCGCTCACGGCAGCGTGCTCGACATTGGCGGCGGAAGCATGTCCTCCGCCATCCTTGAGGACCTCCAGCGCGTCTTCGCCGTGGCCGCCAAGCACGAGAATACCGGTATTGGCGGCAGCGTCGAGGTCCCAACCATGCCCGACGAGCTGCTGTACAACGATGAAGGGCTGGCCATCTGGGCAGAAGTCATCTTCACCCCCGAGTTCTATCAGACCCGCGACGAGATGGTCTTGTTCGAGAAGAATAGCGAGGAGATGGCGACCGTTTACATTCCCAACGACGCTACCATGATTGACTTGGGAGCTGGGTAAGATTACTCCCTCCCTTGTTTATATTTTATATGTTAGGGTAATGATTACTTGCTGATTGATTTTCTTTTCTTCGTCTACAGTGACATGCGCAAGGTCAACTTCCTCCTAAAAGAACTTGCCAAGCACGGCCGCAACGCCACGTACCTCGCCCTCGACATCTCGAACCACTCCCTCACCTGCAACCTCGGGGCCCTTGCCCCTGAGCACGCGGCCGGCAGCGTCCGCATGGCAGGCCTTTGGGGTGACTTCAAGGCAGGCCTCGCCTTCTGTGACGACATTCCTTCTCCTAGAGTCTTCCTCTCTCTGGGCTCCGTCCTCTTCAACGACCCTTGGAAAAAGGCTGTCACCTCGCTCCGTGAGTGGGCTGCCCTCATGCGCCCAGACGACCTCATCCTCGCCGGCATGGACGGCCACGACGTCACCTCGACCAAGGTCTGGGCTGCTTACCACACCCACCCCGCCCTGTTCGAGAAATTCTTCCATAATGGATTCAAGCACGCCAATGTCCTCCTTGGTGAGGATGTCTTCAAGCCCGAGGAATGGGATATCTGTGGTGAAATCGAGGAGGATGAGAAGCGCCATCGCTTCTTCCTCAAGGCAAAGCGCGATGTTGTTGCCGAGAAAGAGGGCAAGACGCTGAAGCAGGGTCTCGAAATCGACTGGTTCGACGCTCACAAGCGCAACGAGGAGGACGTTCACAACATGTGCGCCGAGGCGGGCCTCGAAGTCGTCAAGTCGTGGGCTATTGAGGGTTCCGACATGCGACAGTACCTCATACGCACTGCTGCCATTGAGAACTCCATTGACGAGACGGATAGTGCCATCTACGTACGCGGGGAGTAAACCATTCTCGGTAGCTAGACAGGCACACTGTATGTACATAGAGGTAGATGTGTGGTCCTGGTTCTGATCTCTCATAGTGTGAGGATGGGGAATTCTTTCGGAGGCGGATGGACGACTCAAAACATGACGAGATGACGGAAGCGCACTCGATTCTTTAGAGGTACGATAGGTAACAAATGCTTGCATTAGAAAGCAAGAATTGCAAACAAAGAGTGCTCCAGAATGGATAGCATGAAGTATTCTGCGAAAATGCATCTCTCTCCCAAATGTTTGGTCATCAATGCCCCTATATTTCCTCTAGATCAAACACAAAGTTCCTTCGGTAGAAACAATGTGCGCCACGAGTGGCTCCCACCAGGAGTGTCGCTCTGAAATGAGATCAGGAAGGTCGGAAGGAATGTTGTCATCAACGTTGGCCGTTATCCAATGACGGATACGCAGAAGGGAGTTGAAAGCAGGGGGCACGCTCTGGGATATCTCTGGTTAGAATTTACACCAACTATAGGATTCTCATCACTTTACTTACCGAGCGACAACTGGTGCTGACGACCGATCGAAACCAGTTCAGGGCACAAAGACTATGTGCCTCTGTCGTGGCCACAATTCCTAGGAGGAAAACCGGGAAGAATGGAGATTGTGCAGTGAAGAAGGTGCCATAGGTTGGCATCATGTCAATGCATTTCACCAGCTGGTCAACCTCAGACACGACGTCTGGGTGAGAGCGAGGTAGTCTCTCGAGACGGCAGCGAAGGTAGATGAGGGCTGCTAGACGCCATGCTTCGGCCGTGACTTCCGTCATAGATTCTGCGTCCATCACAAGGCCGAAATCGTTTCGCTTAATGCGATCTTCGATAGCGCGTTTGTCTGATGTATCTCGAGATTGATCCGATCGCGTTGTGGCCGAAGAGGACGGAGACTCGGCGGCGGGCTGTGTCCACTGATGCAACCTGCCCAAATCTTGGCGGACTATTCTGCTGCTCGATTTCATGTGAAAATCGTTGGTACTGGGGTCCTCCCACAACCATGCTGCCAATTTTGTAATCTGAGCAAAACGAGAAAGAAGTATCGGCGACATGCCGCATCCACCATGTATCCTGCGAGTCTCCGGCTCAGTGCCCTGGCACAGCCAAGAAAATTGCTCTCCTGTGTCTTTCGAATCAAGAGGAGCCATGGGAAGGGCTATGATGGCGGCCCTGGCGGCGATGATCATGTTGCCCATCTGCATGTCGGAAGGCTGAATGTTGGAGGGTACCCAGAAGCGATGACCCGGATCCGACTTATCCAGCAAACGACAAGCGAGGCGAGCACCTTCTAGCCAACGAGGAACCGCACTCGGCGGCCGACGTTGCTCTGGGGATACAACATCGATCATGTTTAGCAGCGTCACGGCGGCAATCAGGCTGTTTGACTCGTGTTCCGTGGGACTGGGACTCCGAGCCTCCTCTCTCAAAGCCATCGTCAAGAGTAGGACGGCTCGTTTATAGTGTGCATTGACTACCTGTCGAATGCTCTCTTCGGGTTGGTAGTCGAGGACATATGTTCCAGCAAGCGCTAGCATCGCGTGCTTGACGCAAGAGCTGTCCTTCATTATTCGGGGGATGTTGACGAGCCAGCAGTTGGTTTTGTGGAGGACACTCCGACCAGAACACCATGCCTTGACGTCTTGAGAATGTTAGCCATTCTCCATGTTGGCCAGATGTCCCGAGACTCACAAAACTGGAAGAGATTTTTGTCACAATTGTCTTCAAGGCCTGCCTCGAACAAGAACGTTTGAGAACATAGTTCTGACAGGAGAGCCTGGGGATCAGACGGTTGTATCGCCGCCTGTCGACGCGGTAGGTTGGCTGCCCTCGACTTGCCGCTGTGGAACTTGATGTATCCATCAATAATAGTTCCGGCCTGAATACGGGTTTTGCCCAGGACGAGACGATCCGCATCATCGGCGTTATCCTCGAAGGGATTTGTGAGGTCCAAATCCTCCGCCGAGTCGGCCTCTATAGTAGGGAGTCGCGGAGAGAAAATCACATCTGGCAGCGGGTGAGGAGAAACTGGTGGGCCATACGGTGCCCCATATCTGGTCGATGTCGTCGACGGATCAGGGATTGCTAGTTTGTTGTTAGTCAAGGATTCGTCGGCAACGGTTCCTAAGACCTCGTGCTATCATCATCATCTATTCCTTCTTCTTCCACCCCTTCTCGTGTCTACCAGAAATCGCACTATACTGGACGGGAGCGGCACAGGCGGCTCAGGATAGGTAAAGAAATCCGTCCAGCTTACATGGCTTTGATCGTGCCAGGGGCTGGTCATCCTCAAGGGGTTTAGACAGTCGACGTCTTTGCCGGGGAGTGTTGGCTCCATGAGAGAACCATGGAAACTCGGAGTCTCCTACCGGGCTCCATATTTGGGAATCCTGGACATTGATGTTGGAGTTGTTGTCTCCAGGCGAGGGTGTAGAGGCAGGCGTCGATGAAGGTGTAGTTGTAGGGACAGAAGCGGAGGCTGTTGAATAGGAAAAGAGAGGAGGATCCTCGTCCATGGGCTGGCTTCTCTTCCGCGGCCTAGTAGCCATGACTGTCGCACCAAGCATGCCCTGGACGGGGAGGGACGGAAAGCAGCACGGAACACGGGATGCCCAAGGGCATGTACTTTGTCCGGATGGATACACGAGACCAGCGTGCCCAGGTCTGTCCACAGTCCAGAATGGAGGAGACGAGGTCGTGGGGGAGTGTGTGCACGGGTGCCGGGCGCGATAGTCTGATATTCAAAAGTGGATAGTGGTGGAGGGAGCGCTGCGAAGTCCCACGTCTGTGGTCCACGACAGGGCCAGGGGGGAGGTGAGGTCGATGTGGGACGCGACCGGGTATACCTTGGCTAAGAGCCTAAGGTAAGGGAACAGATGCGGAAAGTGGAGACAACGGGGCTGTTAACGTTAGCGCGAGCTCGGGGGAGGAAGGAAGCGTGGACGTGGTGCAGGTCGGGTCGGATGAGGTGGGTCCTACCGGTAAGGAGGAAAGATGGGCCCAAAGGAGAGAACAGCACCAGCACGGTAACACCTGCCACCAGCACCTGAGCGACCGGCCGGCAGGAGCGGACGAGATTCTAGCAACGGCCAGCAGCAGGCCCTAGCAACGCGCTACTGTCAGGATGAACTCAGGATGCCTTCCCGCGCCCGCTAGCTGAGGAAAGAGGTGGAGACCAATGTTCGTGCACTTGCCTACCTCGAGATAAAGTAGGGGGAAATGTGAACGTGAATGGAAGCGAATGAGCAAGAGCCAAGGTAGCTGTGGAAGGTAGAAGGATTGGAGTGGGGTGGCAGATGAGGCAACGCGACAATCTGCAAGTGACAAGAGACAAGAGACAAGAAACTTCCACAAAACTTGGTCCAGTGGACGGGAGATCGGGTGACGGAATGGGAGCTCGGATGGAAGTTTTCAGAGGCACAGAGCAAGCAAAGTTGTGAGTACGCACGCCGCGCCGTGCGAGTGTCGCTCCAAGTGGTCGACTCCGCCGTGGAATCGTCCTGCGTGCAAGGTGCGTGCTGTCACCGGTACGGAGTACGGAGTACGGACTGAACGGAACCAAGGTGTTGGTGCTCTAATTTAGTTTGGTAGTTCTTGTGATGGCTCCACTTGGACTGGAGGATGGTCAGAGCCAGAGTCAGTCGGACACGAGAAGTCTGCGTTGTCCTTTTTTTTTTCTTGAACTTGGCCCGTTCTTTGTCGAACGAATCCGCCTACCAACTGAAATGCTGACTGCTGGCTGCTGGCTGCTATGGTTTTGGAGGAAAAGGTAGATGGGTATAGAGAAAGTGCGGTATTTTGCTGAGACAAGACAATTTGGAATGCTGGCTAACGAGGCGGGTGCAATTTGGAAGATGTTACTGGATGCTCAATTTGCGGGTGAAAGTCTGTCCAACGGACGATTCGATCTAGCAGCCGTCGTTTCGGAACTTTAGATTCCAGGTGATGGGAGGTAATTGGATATCGGTAAGTATGATCGAATTGCCAACTCGCCGAGTAAATCCTAATGCGCTGTTTCAACGTCTTTGGGCTTGGCTTGCAAAACACGGGGCGGACGGGGGCTGGCGTGTCTCCCGCGCGCGACGGAATGTTGTCTCTGCTAGTCTGTCTGGTCTAGAAGTCTCTTAGTTTACTCTAGTCGTTTGTTGTGGATTCAGGCAAGACGGCCACGGCGTTGTTGGGCTGATGTTGGAGCGGACGGGAGAGACAGCGGGAGCCCCCTCGATGTGCGGATAGCGCTGCGCCCAGAAAGAAAGACAAGGGCGAGGCGAGACGTGGAAGCGCCAGTGTGCAATTGAGGCTTGTCAAATGACCTGATGTGCCGGACGTGTCTTGATTTGGCGTCGAGTCCGTGATTTAGAGTTTCAACCCACTGGGACCTTCCCGCTCGTCGGATAGGTAGTCTGACGGCTTGCCGAGCTGAAGACGAGATGAGATGCTAGATGAGTGACCTGTGTAGGTTTCGTACCTGGCACAGAACGGAGCGCAGTATTTGCGTGGTCAGGTACGTATGATACTCCGTACGACAAAATGGTGCAATGTAGACGCAGTAGCCGTAAAGCCGACCACCTTCAAGTAATCGTCATGTAAGCTGGCAGCTGAGCTGTTCGGGTTGCACAAGGCAAAGTTATCGTTACACCGCGATAGGTCGCCCTGTCTGCCTTGCCTTAGCGTGTCTGCGCCTGTGACGCGATTCTTACATTCCTTCTGCCAACGTCTGCGCCTGGATTGGCATGGAAGCGAGAAAAGGACGGCGGGGGAGGGGAAAGGGAAGAGACGAAGAAGAAATGGTCGAAGCAGCGGGGTTGGATCCCTTGAACGAGGAGAAAGCAAGACTCAGGAGATGGGTCCAAAAGAAAATGTGTGTGTGTGTGTGTGTGTGTGTGTGTGTGTGTGTGTGTGTGTGTGTGTGTGTGTGTGTGTGTGTGTGTGTGTGTGTAAGCTTCCGTGTGGATGTCCCATCGAGGGAGGGCACACCGACTGCGGTGCCCAAGCAACTAACATCATCTGAAGGAAGGTGTGACCCAACACGTGTGTCTCAATTGGCATCAAGCATCGGGACCACCTCCGAGAAGGCGACTGAGCGATGTGGTTTGACACACTCCACGTGACTGTGAGCGGTTGGAGGAAAGAGATAGGACCGGGAAGGAAGCGACTGAGGCGGGCGGTCGAATTAGATGAGTGAATATCTACTTACCCGAATACTTTGATCTTGACGTCAAGGACGGGAATGGAAGGTCCCGCCTCGATACCTAACCTTACCCCAGGTAGGTAGGTAGGTAGCTTAACAAGGCAGGTATAAAGGTACTCTGGTTAGGTCCTCTGAGGAAGGGGTCAAGAAGGATGGCGTTGGGGACCAGGAGGGCGATGCGGAGGCGGAGATTGTGGTGGAGGTGGGCAAAGGAGACAAGAGGAAGAAGGAGGCGACAACGACCTGACACGGGCAGTAGCGATGCCAGATTCTTTCCTCCCGTCACCAAGGCAAGGTACGGGTATCTGATCGGGCTCAGACTTCACACGCAGCAGATGCTGGAGCTGGAGCCCAAGGTAAGCTGGAGCTGGACCTCCACTGGTGACTGGACGTGGGCGCCGGAGCGGTGACGGACAAGAGAAGACTGCGACGGCGACTGCGACGGACTGCAACTTCGGGTGAAAGTGGTCCTTGCTGCGTGCGCATGTCACGCCAGGCGAACTCTAAGTCGGGGGTCGGGGGGTGAGCTTAATTCGACAACTCCGGACCCTTGGAGGCGCGTGTTTGGGAATGCGCGGTCAGGTAATTGTTCGTGTCGTTCTTTGTCAACCAGGAAGCAAGATGATGATGGATTATCATGGAAAATCACCTGAGGGAGTCCCATGCGCAGGTAAGATCAGGATTGAATGGATGGCATGTAGGTGGGCAGGTTGTCAAGAAAGCAGAAACCCGCACGTTCTCGAGAAGGAGACATCGAACAAGTGGACTGTCTTTGTGGCACAGCAGGATAATCACACCCAATGCATTTTCCCAAATTGTGCGGTCACGAGTGGTGGACCCATGGGGACCAGCAAGACGCGGCAGGGTGAAGAAGCACCAGCCTCCAGGAAGGTACCTTAGGTAGAGAATGGAAGAACCTGAGGGTATCTGCAAGAAAAAGAAAGCATAGCAGGAAGGAGGGAACATGAGCGAGGCAGGAATGTTGGACAAGGAAGGGACTCTTGAGTCTTGCCAAGTTAATGGCTGCCAGAGCTTGTTGAACGACGAAGGGGGATACCTTTCGAGGCCGATCTTTACCCTTGGTGTTCCCCCTCCTTCCTTCGTGTAGGTACGAAGTCGCCAAGTACTTTATTTGATGGTGCCCCCTTCCCCATCTTGCCCATGTCGAACTTGTCACTAAGTATCTCTCGCTAGCGTGGCTTCCCAACTGTGCCCCCTCCCTCTTTCCCCGCCACCAACGACCTGCATCCACCTGCCTACTGTAATCTGTTAGTGTGCCAGTCTGTAGACATGGGTTTTCTGAGGCAGACCTTTCCCCATTCGCTCGCACATGCATTTCTCCCTGGTCCAATGTTGCAAATCCAACCAACCGATCAATGCTGCAGCAAGCGGGCAACTTGCAAGTCTGCGGCGCTGCGCCCAGCAACAATTATGAAATGGGTTTTTGCCGCTTTGCAGCTCGTTCGCAGCTCACCAGCTCCCCAGTATTCGTTTCTGTCCTTACAGCTTTCCCAGTGCCCACTTCAACTTTCCTCCACCTCACCGCATCCCTCGCCCGCCCGCCCCACGCTCTTCCTGCCTGCCCGACCCTGGCCTGACCTTTCAGGTTCCATGACCTGACCGCCGTCCATGAAGTTCACGGGAGGGAATCGTGGCATGCATGGTACCTTGGTCTTCCATTACCACCTACATGTTTTCTTTTGCCTCTTCTTACCTCGATTCTCAATAAAGTGTACGATTCTCCAAAAGACACGACGTGGGGAGGGATTGCCGATCCCTCATGCACCAAAATATTTACGGATACCGACCTGGAAGACGGGCAGACAAGCGCCCAATGTCCGTACGGATCCCGACGGAGTAAAAAAGGGTCTGGCAAGTTGCAACCACAATTATTATCACCTGCAGCACATCTTTTCTCTTTCTCATGCAAGATTAGAGCAGTTCAGAAATGCCTTATCCTGGTCGACGGATGGTATCCGTACTTCATTTCCAGTTCCAGCACGCTGCAGTTGGGCAATAATTACATTCTTTCCCAGCTTGCAGTGCTTGCTTCATCTTCCATGCTGTTCCTGGATCCTCATATCTTTCTTTGTCTCTCATCTATCCGCGGCCATAGCCCTTAACCCTTGCTGATCTGAGGCGTCTGCCAGGTGCCACTTTCGCCATCGTGGACATCATCACCTTCATCACTCAGACCATGTTCATGACCCTGACCTTGACCTTGATCACTTCGGCAAAGCCGCGCAACCAACAGAAGCGGTACCAACGGTCTGGTCGCTATCCGCGCCGGCAACGGCACCGGTTCTAGCACCAGCAGCTCCCAACATGCTGATCGACATCATCGAGATGCCATCAACCGGCGTTCGGATGGGCACCCACCCTTCGGACAAACCCCGGAGCCCCATGGCTTGCCATTCCGATTCCATCAGACTACGTCTGGTACGTCCACAAAGGCGTAGATGTTGACATGTTTCCAACTCCCAACTTATCTTATGCTGCGACACCCATCCATATAATTGGTGCGAGGATAGGTAGTGCCATCCTCACCACCGTGACTGACACCGCTCTTTCTTCTTTGGCATCTTTCAACTAGGAGGAGAAGGAAGACTATGATATGCCTGCCCCGAGTATACCTCCCATAAGATACCCAAGATATTGACAAGGACACCTCAACTACCAGTCGGTCCTGCCTGTCATCTGTTGCCGCCTTCCGATACTTCAAAGTGGAAGAATAAGGCAGTAAACTACTCCGTAGGTAATCAAGTATTCCGTACTTTCCTCACTCCAAGTTATGTAAGGTGAGGTAAAGTAAGGTAAGGTACCTATCTTCCAAGGTCTCCCTGCGGCCGTGCCTTGGGTTCCATGATCCCCACCCGGTCAACCTGCCTTATGGGTCCCGGTAACGGTGCCTGCCC